TAAGAATGGTACTGAAAAAGACAACAACAAAAGACAAATTCAGAGTAAGTGAGAGTATTTCAGATAAGCCGAATCTTGATGTGAGTCTATGGATTCAGTTACATTCCTTTATTTGCTGGTTTTGCCATCGATTATAACATCTTGTGCTTGTGAATAACTGATTAACCTGGATATCCAACTCGTTATGCGAGTCGACTAATTTCAGGAAGACCATCTGCTTTACGGGTGGCCGAGTCACCGCATTTGCACCTCCATGTCCACAAGAGATTTTTATTTCTCATTGGATTTGAACCTGGGATCTCCAGGTACTTTTGACCTTTAGAGCTCAAGCTCAAACCAATATGTGTATTCATCAAATTGGGAAATTATCGAGCAATCAGTTGCATAATTATTGCTAAATAGCAAATACTCGTGTTAGAACATAAAGACACCATTTCATAACATGAAATAGAAATACACCAACTGGAAGCTTATAGAAACATAAATCGCTTAACTACGTAAATAAACCAGTATAAAGTTATATCTCAGACTTTTTTTTGGGTCATATGCGTTTTCCAGTAAATATAATTGTAACGTGGATTTATAGTATTTTTCCTCTTTTTAAGTTGTGTTTGATAGAAAGACGGTCAATGTTGTTTTTGATAGTTGAATGTAAGATCAGACATGCATTTTAAATGCACCAAACTGTAACGCAATGGTTACTGAGGTAAGTTGTTTTATTCAAATGCTCTTACTATCGTTAAAGGTAACAATCGAACAATTAGATTGACATGTTCACACAAGCCCTTTTGCTGAGTCCTAAAAGCTCGTTGAACTTGGTTTACACGTCATTTTTGTTGCAACTGAATATACCAATAAATATTCTTACGCGACAAATGAATGCACACACCCTGTAAATCTTTGGTTCTTTGACGAGGTTTGAGCTTCTAACCTCTTGCAGGTTTAAATGTTCGAATACTGCTAAATTGAAAACCCTTTAATAACAGGCCGATGATTTCATGATTTTCTTACAAGCCCTGAAACATAATTACATCCCTAATTCCCTATACCCATTGTGAGCTTCGTTTATTTTAAAAATCAGCGTTTCAAAAGTAAGATACTAAACCAAATACTGTATTATTAATATCATTAGCTTCACCATGGTCAGCCTCCCCTTCTCCATTCGCAACCACCACAGTCGACCTCCCGTTTGTGCTCTTCTCTCCCTCTCCCCTGCGTTCCCACCTGATTCGTCACCAACAGATTGGTAGCAGCCACAACCCTCGTCTTATGATTGTTCCTTCCTTTGCCATTATTACAAAACAAACGTTTATAACATTTTTTAGAACTTTATTGCATACAATCCTACGAAATCCTGTGAAATCCCGAACACCTCCTAAGGATTCCAAAATCCTATGTTTGTAGGATTTCAATTAAATCTTATGATTTCAAATCCAGACAATCCAACAAACCAAACATAAATTTGAAATGAATTTAAAATCTAAATCCCCCAAATTCATTTCATTCGTGCAAATCAGACGAACCTAATTGGACAAAAATTTATGAAATGCACAAATTGTTACGTATCAAAGTTGATGGTCATTAATATATAAAATTACAGAATATTTTATAAAAATATAATGATTTCACGACCAAATTATAATTATATAAAACAAAATAAATCATCACTAAATTTATTCATTAAGAAATTAGAAGTACACGTGATAATGGATCATATTAAATAAAGATATGTGGGATTTAATGCCATCCGATCTCCATTTTGAATTAAATAATTTAAAATCTTAAATCATCAATTTTGCATTTTTTTTACTCTTTATCCATTTTAATTTTGTTTTTACAGTTTTATATGATTTTGAAAAAATAAAAAAAATAATCAGTTGGTTATTAGTTAAATCTGATTTTGATGTATTAGGGGTTGTTTACCAAATTTTTTATTAAGTCATGTATGTATAAATTTGTCTGTCTGGTTAAATGGGTGTTGTTGTTTACTTTTTTTTTTATCTAAACCAACAGTCTGAATAACATAAATGACCGATTTACCCCCCAATATTAATTATTTGAACATCAAAACAAAAAAATCATAAAGAGGCCGAGGATGAGGTATCTCATATGGGAAGGAGGTGGTGCTTTAAATAAAGGGTAAGAGTGTCATTTTTATAGCTGAATGTGGACAATACACCATTTCTATTTGTGCCATTAAGTCATGTTCTGTGCGAATAAACCGTAAATAAACAACTCAAATGAGTTATGCGAATAAGCCAAATAGGCCAATAAGTCTAATTAAGTCGCAAGTAAACAATCTCTTAGTCTTGTTTTCTTTTCTTTTAATCATGGTTTTGATATACCAGTCTGAGGAAGCTTTGAAAAACAGTTAAGAAAATCCTCAATGATCTTACAGACTTAAATCCGTGATTACAGAAGAACTTTCGTATTTTTTTTTTTTTTTGTATTTTCAGAGCAGATTGAATCGGAAAGTAAGAAGTTTAAAACTTTGTATTACATATCCGGTCCAACCAGTATTTTGGTGTTTTTGCTTGAGCTGAACGACATGAAAGTCTCATATACGGTTCTCGGAGGGGTGATCGCGCCTATCTCAATAAAGCCTATGATTGGTTTGAAGAGCTTCTCGAGATTCAGACGATTGCGGCTGAGCAGGATTCCCAAATGTCCAAACCTTATTAATCTTGTATAACACTTATAAGTCAGCTTATTTTTAATATTAACCGAAATAGCATTGTTTTTGTTAGTTATAAACTATTTAATATATGACGGGTTTTTTTAAAAAGCTCCTTATAAACCATTTCAATAAACTCGAAACCGAAACTCCAACAGATTCTCATATGGGTTCTTAAGAATAGAAATATCAAATTCAAAATCTCTAAAAAACGAGAAAATAAAAAATTTCGAGTTTTTTATTTTAACAGATTTTTTTAAAATAAAAAAAACATGAGAAACGATATGAAAATCTGTAAATTTGAAAAAGAAATTGAAAAATATAATGTTAATTAAATAGTAATTATTTCTTTTATTGTTCCATTAATCAACTTGAATATATTTTGATTTTATAAAAAAAAATTATTTAAAAATTATTCTGATATTAAATTTACTGAATATTTTAATAACATAATTAACGATGAAATTTTCAAAATAAAGAATTTGTTGGAGTTAAATGTAAATCTTTTAGATATTTTAATTTCTGATTTTTCATTTTGATAAAATTATAGAAAATCTATCTAGATCAATTTATACTGTTATCTAGTACTGTAACTTATTAGCCAACAATTAGCTTTTCCAGCTAAGGGATCTCCGGTGGATGCAACAAAAACCAGTACAATGTCACACCACACACCATCAAAGAACCAGATTGCCAGACAAAAAAGTGTGGACCAGTTCCACCATCAGTAGTTGTGGGCTGCTTCTAGTTATAGAATATATAGGAAAGATAAATCTAATGTGGTAGAAAGCAAAATCAAATTTGACAAAATCATGAACATATAACACATGCTAACAATTGGTGATGCTTTAGCAACTAAAGAGCCGTTTACCAAACGCTTACTCGGGTAAGTGAACACCAAGTCACATTACCTTACCGGATGAATATGGTAAGAGCCAAGAATTTTACCCGATAAGAACGAGACAATGACCAAAAGTCTTACCCGGTAAGTGGGGACGATGACTCTTACCACGGTCAACGCTTACCGGGTAAATTGTTGCATATGATACCGTTTTGGTGGACTAAAATCTTACCGGATAAATTGTTGCAGACTAATACCGTTTTTTTAAGTTCTCTAAATTTGAAGAAATTTTTATCATATCTTATTTTCTCTATTTTAGAGAAAGATTTAGAGCATCTGTTAAAACAAGAAATCAACTCATAAAAGGTCGGCTAAACCTATTTATTGTTAAATACAATTATGAAATCTTTAAAATAGAAAATCTGTTATATTTAAATGTAATTTATTTTAGAGATTTTGACTTAGTTCTCTGTTTTAAAAAAAATTATAAAGAATCTGTTGGAGTTTAATATAATTTATTTTAGAAATTTTGACTTTTGATTCTTTATTTTTAAATAAATTACAGAGAATCTGTTGTAGATTCTCTTATATATTATTAAAAACACCTTTATTTATTAATTTTTCCTTCAAATACATTAACATTAAGACTTTGTACATTCTCAAATCATGAAATGAGTGCGTACAGTATTCTCTATAACTTTTCTTCTCACACACGTCAACATCAAGACCTATTTTTACATTCTTAAAGCATGAGTTGACTTGATTCTAACATAAAAAAGAAAATAAACATATAACATTAAAAAAAATTCATAACAATATGAAACAACTTTATAAAAAAAAAGTATTATATGAAACAGTTTCATAAGATTAAACAATTTCATGAAAAAAAATTCATAAAATTAAATAATGAAATTATCGGATGAAGGTAATTTAAACGGTTTATACAAATATGAATGACTTGCATTTGATCGCTCTTCTCTCTCTCTCTCTCTCTCTCTCTCTCTATATATATATATATATATATATATATGATGACTTTGGATCATGTAAGACAATTGTTGTTTTCGTGGGACAAAATTTTTACACTTGAAACTGCTTTGAATGTTCGGTTTTTTTATCTTTACAATATTTTGTTGTGAAATTATAAATGTAAAAATCGTGTCTCATGTGTCTCACAAAAACAATTTTGTATCACGTAAACCCAACCCTATATATAATAGCAAATATTGAGCAACTATTTTTATAACAATGGCGAGGGTTTTACACAAAAAAAACACCCTCTCGGTTGACTCGGACATTCACCATGGAGTAGTCTTTCCTTGATTCGAAAATTACTCACTCAACTTACTACTATTTACCACCTCAAAATTACCTTTTTATCCATATATCTCTAAATTTACATTTTTGCCCCCAACAAAAACCTGCTTTTATTCCACCAACCTTCTATAAATACCCCTTTCCCATCTCCCTTTCCAATACCCCCTTTCTTTTCAACACTCTCTCTCTCTCTCTCTCTCGATCTTCCATTTTAATCATGGCGCCGATGTTAGGAGGAGGTGGTGCCGGCGGCGAACACAAGGTGAACTTCGCCGCACCGAGAAGCTTCAAGACGGCGTTCAAGTCTGATTTGAAGGAAACTTTCTTTCCCGACGATCCTTTCCATGATTTCAAGGGCAAGTCGTTGCCAATTAAGGCGAAGAAAACGTTACAGTATTTCGTTCCGATCTTTGAATGGCTCCCGAATTACACACGTAGGTTGTTCCTGTATGATCTTTTGGCCGGAATCACCATTGCCAGCCTCGCCATTCCTCAAGGAATCAGCTACGCTAAGCTCGCTGACATTCCACCCGTCATTGGTTTATGTAAGTTTCTTTCTGCATTGCATGCACCGAAAGTATTCGACCAAATGCCCCAAAGGGTTCTTAATAGCATTGGAATTTTAGAGTTTATAATCCTTTGGTTACCGTAGAAAGGTGACGGCGATCGATGCAAATGGTAGTCGATTTTCAGGGCATTACCAAGATTTTAAAGCGTAATCGGGTGTTGTTTAAGAACGTTCCCGTGGATGTGCACGAAAAAGAATAGTTTTCTTGAACACGTTAAAGTGCCGAGTCGCTATAACAGTAAACTTTTGTTTTGATACCATGTAAAATATACGTAAAACCTCATTAGATCACTCTAAAACATCCGTCAAAAATTAGCGGATAAGTAGTTGATTACATATGATGCATTTTATATGCAGATTCAAGTTTTGTTCCCCCGCTAATATACGCGGTTTTCGGGAGCTCGAAGCATCTAGCCGTCGGAACAGTAGCCGCGAGCTCATTGATCATAGCCGCAACCCTCGAAAAAAAAGTGGATCCAGCCACTGATCCAAAACTCTATCTTGATCTAGTCTTCACTACCACACTCATCTCCGGTGTATCTCAGTTGATTCTTGGTGTTTTCCGGTGAGCTCCAGCGTACAAAATTATACTCCAACCGTCCCAAAATAAATATACATGGTTAAAAAACCGCACAGTTTTTTAAAATATGTAATTGTCACACTTTTTAAATAATTAAGTGTCAATTTTATCCTTCATAAGAAACAAAATAATGAATATTTTGATCTTATATTTAAGGGCAAAATTGGAAAATAGAAATAACCGAACATACAGTTATTTTGTAACAAACTAAAATAAAAATACGTACACAGGTTGGGAATTCTGGTGGATTTCTTGTCACATTCTACGATCACTGGGTTCATGGGTGGAACAGCAACACTGATCTGCCTTCAACAATTGAGAGGCATATTTGGTTTGAAGCATTTTACTACACATACCGATGTCGTATCGGTTATACGTGCCATCGTGAAGTACAGAAAAGAGGTATCTAATATTCCATATATATATATAGGGTCGGGTATAAACGAGAAGTTAAACATTTTGTGATAAGGTAAAAATTTCAATATCATATATGATTGCTCGCATGATACACAAGTTCAATCATATATAATTATACATCCCAAAAAAGTGTAATCATATATGATATTGAGAATTATTGTCTTCTTATAAAATCGCGTATAATTTTTTTTATTATATTATATTATATTATATATTTTTTAATTTTAATTAATAAAAAATAGGGACCCACAGAAAAGGTTGTTGAATTCCCATCGGCTGCATGTCTGGTTTATTAATTGTTCTGGTAACCTGGTGTAGTCGTGTTTACGGTTTTATGAAAACGATGATGATATTAGAACCAGACAGCAAACGACACATGACTCTGACCCCACATTATTCATGCCATATATATACATATTGAGATTGAGGGAGGTTCTGATTATACGGTGATAAAAACAAGTGAATATGAAAATGGTCAAATCATATGTTATTTTATATTAAAATAAAATCACGTGTATAATTATATGTGATTATATGCGAATTATGTCCACTCACTTCTATGTAAATCATTTCCTTATTCTCTTATTTTAACCTTGCTTATAGGATCGATCGATAACATGCAGATCTTGACATGTAGAGGTGAGTTCAAAGGAGAACACCATCATTCCATGAAAACGCGACACCAACTATATCATATGTGATATTGAAGATTATAACATGTGATACTAAATTAGAGAAACGGGTGATCTTTGCTACAACCTAGGTTGAGGGCCAAGTCTCCCAAATACCATCAAATCTGTCATCTGCATTATCACATGTGATATGGGTCGCGTTTTTTGTAAAATGATGGTGTTTTCGTTTGAACAAGTATATATATATATATATATATAGGGTTGGGTTCACGTGAGACCAAGGGTATTTCGTGAGACCCGTAAGACCAATTTATGTTCATTGATCAACTTTATAAGTTAATAATCTAATGGTCTAAAGTTGCACAGTGACAATTTTGTGATTATTGAGAAGTCTCGTGGCGTTTATGAATGTTCAGATTGTCATATTGTAAATCTAATCCAAGGGTTGAGAATTGGTCTTACGGGTTTCACGAAAAACCTTTAGTCTCACATGATCCCAAGTCTATATATATATATATATATATATATATATATATATATATATATATGAATTTTGATATGAACTTGAATTGATACAAATATCATTGAATAATAATATAAAACATACAGGTATATATAGAGACTGTAGTTAATATGTATGGTATGCGTATTTTTTTTCCCTAAAGCCACTGTATTAAAAACCATCAGTTGCCTTGCCATGTCTCACAAGACTTGACACTTGACTTCGTTGCCACTTCATGTCTCATGTCGTTAAAATTTGTTTAGAAGTAGCAATGATAATTATAATACCGTTTTGAAAATCGTAATTTAAAAAAAAGCAATTTTCTAACTTCTTCTATTTGGTTTTCCAGATAAGATGGGAAAGCACGTCTATTGGTGTGATTTTCTTGGTCTTTCTTCAGTTCACAAAATTTGTGGTAGGTGACACTTCGAAAGTAATTAGAGATTCTCTTTCTATTGAAAAATATGACGTGGAATGCTCCGATGCTGACATGGAGTATTTTCGAATTTGGGACGTCGCTAAGTCAAATGACTTGGCAACGGATTTAGGATCCTGTGTGGTCCTATTTGCTTTACTATTCGACTTTCTGCTAAATATATTGACGTTCTAAAAAAACGTTCTTGTCATTCATTTTCTATTTCTTTCTTGACATGTGTAATTCTGTTAAGACGTAAACGTAAATGGATTTTCAGAAGCAAAAGAAACCGAAGCTTTTCTGGGTGTCGGCAATAGCTCCAATGGTGGTCGTCGTAAGTGGATGCGTGTTTGCTTATCTAGCGCATGCGGAGAAACATGGAATCGCAATCGTAAGTCTCTTATTCTTATTATTAATCTTTGAAAATACAGTATTTATTCTTAGACAAAAACAGATAAAAAGATATAATTTTAATAAAAAGGAATAATTTAAAGTAACACCACACTATCACAATTACCTTTTTCAAATATCCCATAAAATTACATTACTTTTCTAAAAAAAATTATAAATTTAATTAAATAAATATTTAATTAAATTTATCAAAAAGAAATAACATCATCTTCTTCTTTTTTTTGATGTGACGTATTTCATCTCCCGGGTCCGAGAGTAAGAGGTTGTTTGTTTAATTATCTTTTAATAGTTTCATTAAGAGGTAGTCTCTAAATCGTTAAGAGGTAAATCTTGTTTGGCAAAAAAAATCTACCTCTTAATAGTTCTAAAATTTTCTTAATGATTTTGTATCTTGGGTCTCCCCTAACCATTCAACACCATAATTTCATTATTAACAATTACCAAACAGTGATATTTCAGTTTGCATTATATTATAAGAGCCTCTTAATCATTATGACCACTTAATCATTTTGCACTAAACCATTCAGCAATTACCAAACATCTCCCTACACTTTTACAATCCCACTATTTTTTTAATTAATCTGGATATCCAACTCGTTATGCGAGCCGACTAATTATACGACGACTATCCGCTGCGCGGGTAGCCCAGAGTTACATATTTGAATCTCCGTGGTCACAAATGGATTTTTTTTATTCATTCTTGGATTCGAACCTATAACCTCCAAGCACTTTTGACCTCTAGAGTTCAAACTCAAATCAATCTAACACCACCATTGTGATTACAATCCCACTATTTATAACCGTCATCAACCATCAAATATATTCTTGATTTTTGTTTTTATAAATAAATTTCTTTTATTCTATTTCTCTTAAATTACTCTTCATTTTTATTTTTAATAAATAAATGAATAAAAAGTATTAAGAAAATACACAAATTCGATCGCAAAGCTTATCTTTACATTTCTATGAAAACACAGCATAATTTGGTGTGATTTCAATCTTATAAAACGTATTTTCAAAATCTTTATTTTAATATCTTAAATATTTAAGTATCTGTTATTAGATAATTAATATTGAATAAGTTCAGATTTTTGCTCATATGATCGATTTTTTAAATGTTAATTAATCAAATAAAAATTAAGTTCTTATTTGTTAAAAAAAAAATTAACCAATAGGTAATGCATCCACAAACAAGTTCTTAAGGCATCAAAGGACATTTGGTCTAGCGGTATGTGAATCTTTGACCTCTTTAGAAGTCAATGGTTCAAACCTCACCAAAGGTAACGAAAGTGTATGAGTTTATTTATTCTATTTATCATATATAAATATTATATACTAAAAAAAACAAGTTACTAAGGCTAGTTGTTGCATTTGGGTGCAATCCACAATGGTTAAAGGTCTATTTAAAAAGGGAACTACCAACTTTAAGACATTTTCTAAGAAATTTACCAAAATCTGTCTTATAAACCAGTTCAAACTTCAAATCAACAAATAAAAGCATCTACAGATAAACCCTAACATCTAACTTTTTAAAATGATTGGTCATTCTTGCAAAACCGACCAAAAGAATCTTAACCCTCTGAATGATTTTGTATCATGTGTCTCCTTTAACCGTTCAAGTGCCCTAATTTCATTATAAACAATTACCATACAATTATATTTCATTTTTGCACTATATCATGAAAGCCTCCTAATCATTCCGACCAATTAATCATTTTGCACCAAACCATTCAGCAAATGTCAAACAACCTCTTAACTGACCATCAATCATCTGTAATAAAGAATACGTTAAAACTGACATATTTTTGTTTTAATGAAAATAATTTGAAAAATTGCAGGTGGGTGACTTGAAAAAAGGGATTAATCCTCCCTCCTTGCATAGATTGAACTTTGATCCCAAATATATATCAGCACCTATTCAAGCTGGACTGATAACAGCCATGATTGCTCTTGCTGTAAGTTCACTTTCTTTTTCCTAATAGATATACACCAATACATACAAGATAGTGTGTGTGTGTATATATATATATATATATATATATATATATATAAACGAATCGCTCGACATGTAAGATCTTGGGTTTGTTTCTTAACAACCACCGGTTCGGCCATGAGGGACACTGGAGATTTAACTGGACGTTAGTTATTGGACCCACAGGATTAACCGAAGTGCATACGACATTATAATAAAATTGGTTTTATAGGACGACTAAAATGTCTAAACGTACTAATAAAATACTTTATACAACATACATTTATTGAACCAAACCAAAAATCGTCCTACCTAAAAGTGTTACAATAGGTTTATATGACGCTTCTAGGTGTTTTAACAAGTTTTTTAGGATGTTTTTGAAATAAAGTGTCATATTAGCTATTTTATACGAGATTATTAGAAAAAACGTCCTATAAACACGACTGTCCAATAAAAAGATGTGTTTATAGGACATTTTTTAAAAGTATCAATAACACACATTATTTTAAAAACATCCTAAAAAGCTTGTTAAAACATCCACAAGCATCCTATAAACCTATTGATATAGGACAATTTATAGTTTGATATTATAAACATAAGTTCTACAAAGTATTATATTAGAACGTTTATACATTCTAGGCCTCCTATAAAACCAGTTTTCTTATAATGCAAGCTAGCCCGAACACCCATAGTTATAAAAAAAATAGCATACACGAATAGCTCAACTGATAACGCCTTAGGTTTGTTCATCAGTGGAGACCAGTTCAAGTCTCCTGAGGGGCGCTACGAGAGGTTTATCTGGCTGTTAACTTAAGAGCCTCGTAAAATTAGTCGAAGTACACACAAGCTACCTCAGATAAAAAAAATAGCATATTAAAAGTCAAATGTTGACATTTATGTGATGATTTACGGGGGTTTGCAGGAAGGAATAGCAATAGGAAGAAGCTTTGCCATATTGGAAAATGAACAAATTGATGGTAACAAAGAGATGATAGCTTTTGGTCTCATGAACATTGTTGGATCTTTCACTTCCTGCTACTTAACCACAGGTCTTAATTTAATAAGATTTTTTAACTCTTGACGTCCCGGGAAGCTGGGGTCCACCGCTAATGCGGGTACCGTTATGCTAATAACCATTTGGTTTCTTTTTTGTTGATTGTAGGGCCGTTTTCAAAAACCGCGGTGAATTATAACGCGGGGTGTAAAACACAGATGGCGAACGTAGTGATGTCGATGTGCATGATGCTAACGCTCTTCTTCTTGGCACCGCTCTTTAGTTACACTCCTCTTGTTGCTCTTTCGGCCATTATCATGTCCGCGATGCTTGGTCTCATCGAGTATGAGAAAGCATACCATCTCTACAAAACCGACAAGTTTGATTTCGCTATTTGCATGGTCGCTTTCTTTTGTGTCGCTTTCATTAGCATGGACGTTGGCCTCATGTTGTCGGTATATATCTCTTCTAATAAATCTTCGACTATCTGATAGTTATTGTGTGAATATATGAAACACCATTTGAATCTTTCTTCTAAATAACTCATATAGAAAGAGAAAGTTCATATACATACACACACACACACACATATATATAGGGTTGGGTTCACGTGAGACCCAGGGTTTTTCGTGAGACCCAGGGTTTTTCGTGAGACCCGTAAGACCAATTTATGTTCATTGATCAACTTTATAAGCTAATGATCTAATGGTCTAAAGTTGCATGGCGGCAATTTTGTGATTATTGAGAAGTCTCGTGGCAATTTTGTGATTATGAATGTTCAGATTATAGATCTCATTCAAGGGTTGAGAACTGATCTCACGGGTCTCACGAAAAACCTTTGGTCTCACATGATCCCAAATCTCTCTCTCTCTCTATATATATATATATATATATATGTTTGATGGTCAATGGGTAGCCAACGTGAGACCCACTGCACCTTTGTTTGTGTATTGAGCCCCTAAATGTGGCTAATCTCGATTTGATACCATATGAGAATTTATGGAACCGTTATGAATATTTATCTAAAAAAGCACTTCTAGAGAAATATCAGTACCTACATATATAAAGTTTGATGGTTTATGTCTACCTGATATGTGACTCCAACAGTTATGTCATATTGAATGAAAACCCTCGGTTTTTTTCTATACAGGTGGCATTAGCATTGGTACGAGCCTTATTGTATGTAGCCAGGCCCACAAGTTCGAAGCTCGGCAACATACCAGACACGAGTTTCTATCGTGACGTAGAACAGTATCCTGGTGCCACCGACATCCCCAAAACTCTAGTTTTGCAACTCGGTTCTCCAATCTACTTTGCGAATTCCGGATACATTAGAGAAAGGTTTGTGGTTACCAAAAATCTTGATTTCCACATTTGATGCATAATTACAATTTTTTTTATTAACGTGATATCCAACCCGTTATGCGAGCCGACTGATCCTAGGGCGACCACCTGCTTTGCAGATAGCCTGGAGTCATCGCATTTGAACCTCCGTGGCCACAAAATTACAAAATTTTAGAAATCTAACATTCAAATTTGATCATTTTTCCCATGAATTTTGGATATTTTGAAGGATTTTGAGATGGGTTAGAGATGAAAAGGCCAAGAAAGATTCCCAAGGAGATGATGTTGAGTATGTTATATTAGATTTAGGAGGTAAGATTCTAAAGGTTTTGAATTACTTTCAATTTATTATTATGTTATTAAACTTAGGGACCGTTTACCAAATGCTTACTCGGTTAAATGTTTATCAAGTTACATTACCTTACCGGATGAATATGGCAAATGCCAAAAATCTTACCCTGTAAGAGCAAGACAATGATCGAGAGTCTTACCCGGTAAGTGAGGGCAATGATTCTTACCACTGTCAGCTCTTACCGGGTAAATTGTTGCATATAAAGTCGTTTTTATTGACTAAAATCTTACCTACTAAGTAAATGATAGTGTTGAATTTTACCGGTAAGTGTTTACCGGATAAGTGTTTGGTAAACGGCCCCTTACATATAAAGGTAATTATGGTAATAAATTTCAATTCTTTTCATTTATATTATATTTTCATATATTCACACATCACATAAATAAAACCTTCAATTACTGATTTATCCAGGTGTTACGTCTATTGATATAACGGGTGTCGAAACCCTAGTCGAAGTTCGTAGAAGTTTGGAAGCCAAACAAATCAAGGTAATTAACAGACGTCGACTCACATTGGTCTTCTGTTTAAACCGAAAGTAATATTTCTGATTAATTACAAATACTTATTTTTACATACAGATCGTTTTAGTAAATCCCAGACTGGAGGTCATGGAGAAGTTGATTGTTACGAATTTCATAGAAAAAATCGGGACAGAATGCGTGTTCCTATCTATCGAAGATGCAATCGACGGGTGCAAGTTTTCACTCACGAGAATGAAGGATTACAATAGTGAATAACACCGTCAATAGATAGAAAGTAGTTTGGCTCGTTTGTATTTCAACGAAGAAATTATGTTGTATTTATCATCTATATGATTACTTGTAAACACAAGAATCACTGTTGCAGTACAAAAGTTGATACGAAAAGTAACTGGTAAATGAAAAATATGAATTTTGGGATATCTGTTTTTTTCAAAAACTGTTCTTTTATCAGACGTATAACATACAAAATAAACCGTTTTTATTCGGGTGAATTTGTTTTAAAATAATTTAAGGTTCTTAATCCACTTGATTAGCCCCAAAAAAATCCACAAGGGTGGTGCCTGATTGGTTTGAGCTTGGCTCCAAAGGTTAAAAGTACCAGGAGGTCTCAGGTTCAAATCGAAGAAGAGATAAAAATCCCCTTTTGGCTACGGAGGTTCAAATGCGGTGACTCCGGGCTATCTGCAAAGCAGGTGGTCGCCCTGGGATTAGTCGGCTCGCATAGCGGGTTGGATAGCTCAGGTTAATAAAAACAAAGATCCACTTGTTAACTTAACATCAAGGAAGAAGTATTGGGCTAATTAGATGGGCCAAAACCCACATGTTGATAGGTCTTCAATATGTTTCTTAAGCCCAATGGGCTTTGACCAATTATTCCTAGTCAAAGTGTTTTGAAAACACATTAATCATTGCCTTATTGGGGGTATAATAGTCATTTCAAAATAAATAAAAACCATTTCTCTTCGCTATTTAGGGGGTGTTTGGTATTGCTTATAAAAACAACTTATTGACTTATTCCGGTGTGGCACCGGCAATAAACACTTTTGAGTGTTTAGATAAACAACTTATATTGGTGTCAAACCGGTAATAAGGAGTTTTAAAGAAGTTAAACTCTTCTGACTTATAATAAGTTGATAAGTGTTTTTATAGAAAAACATAAGTTGTTTCAAATAAGCAATCTCAAACACCCAGAAAAACACCACCTAACATTTGAAATGAAATTTATTTCAAACTCAGAGAATTATTATGTAGACTTACATATTGACCAGTATTCTCACCGACACATAGTAACACGGAATCAAAGATTATGAGTCTCTACTGTCATCATCTTCCAATATCAGATGTACGGTTACACACCCGACATTATTTCTTTGATATTTTATTACCCATAAATATCACGTCATATCTAGATTTAGAGATTTGGTAGCCCCAACACCCACTGCAGATTTACCCTTCTACACAACCTTGATAGCCATCCCACAAGCAACGACCAATTGTACTGATTACAACGTCAAGAATAGCAGTTCTTCATAATAAACTTGAAGATATCAGTTCAAAAATAACTGTTTGTAAAAAACTGTAGAAAGGTTTTATTATTTTGAAATGCATTATTTAGAGGAGAAGAGCAACTAGGGTTATACTACTATTGGTTTTCCACTTTATAAATGTAAATGTGTACCAAGTGCATTAAAAGTTGTAAGCTAGTGTCGGTACATATCAAAGTTAAGCCTTAATGTCCTTTTTTAACTTTATGCAATGTGACCCCAAGAACCCACACCAATCACTCCTTCCATAGCCTATAAACTAACCTAACTACCTTTGGGCCTTTATACACACACACACATATACATACATATATATATATATATATATATAAAAGTTTAATTAAATGAGAACTATTTTGTTTGTGGTAACCGTGAGGTCTAATTTTAACTACAAATCAAAGGTTAAATTAGAAAAATTAATGTTTTTGATAATTTTAACTTAAAATATTAATTAATGGTACTTTAGAGATTTTATAAATATCTTCTTTCATCTCTCCTCTTTCCTCTCTCTCCGGCGAATCTTATTCGGATAAACTTTATGTAAACACAACATACACATTGTAATACCTATAAATGATATACTGTGATACCCGGATATACATACAAGATGCACAATGTGATATCTTTTGCAAAACGATGAAAATAACGAAAATACACATTATATATTTCATAAAACAAAGAAAATACATTGTGATGCACATGAAACATTGTGAACGTTATCACCTGCATACACTTTGATTCACAAATGTCTTTAAAATAAGATGTATATTAGGTAATTGATATATACTAGGTAACTAATTTTAATTAAATATTTTTAAAAAAAATTAATTAAATATTTTGATTATTTGTCAAAAATAAAATTATTATATTACCTTTTTAGCTTATTTAAGAAATATTCTTAATTATCTCAAACGAGCGGTTCATATTGGATCTCATGTTTAACATAAACTAATTCAATTTTCCCTTGAATTACCCCCCTCCCCCCCACACACACACACAGACACACACACACACACACACACACACATATATATATATATATATAGTTGTAAACGAACTGAACGTTCAGCGAACCATTCGGCGGGAAGTTCGTTTATGTTCTCATTCGTTCATTTATGTTCGTGAACGTTCGTTCATTTACCATTCGTTTATGTTTGTTTATATATCAAATTAATATATAGTCTTTTATTTATGTACTTTGAATTCAAATAATATTTATTTATGTTCGTTTAGCCCGTTTGTTTAGGTTCGTTTAGCCCATTCGTTTAGCATGTTAATGAACGAACATAAACGAACACGAACACACCTAATTTCTAAACGAACGAACACGAACACAAAGATTTTCATTCGTTTACTGTTTGTGTGTTTGGTTAAGTTAAACGAACGAACATGAACAAGTCTCCGTTCGTGTTCGTTTACAGCCCTATATATATGTGTGTGTGGGTGGGGGGATGTGGGGTCCACATAATAAATGTTATATCTAATTTTACATCTTAAATTTATAGGTCGTACGAAATAAATACATACTCTAAGATACGTAAACTTCTATCAGATTAATAGTTTAAATAGCTTTATAAAAAAGAGATATTCCAAACTTATTGAAAATAATAAACTCATAATTAACAGATGTGGGACAGTAATATGTATGTTCATCTAGCATTTAACTTGGTTATTGTCAATAACGTATTATAGTCCGAAACTGAAACTGCATACAGATGCATATAACTGTATAAAAGATGTATAAACTGTACCGTAAATATATTATTAACTTATACAGTTTAAACTTATCGTATCCATGTTCGAAATTTTAGATAAACCAGTAGCAATTTGGTCTAATTAGTTAACGGTTTAATATAAAGACTTTTAACAATCAGTAAAAATAGATGTTACTTTAGGATCCAACATGTTAACCCCACCACTTTAATTCATAGCCTGCTTTGCCTTGAAATTACCCAATTAGTTCACCATCTATCTCATAGACTGTTATTTTAACAAGGTTGTTTGTTTACATTTTAACAGTTTTATTAAGATATGAATCTTGTTTGGTAAAAAAAAAAAAGTTTGTCTTTTAGTGGTTTCTAAAACCTTCTGAATGGTTTGTATCATGGGTTTTCCTTAAACATTAAGCGTCCTAATTACATTGTAAATAATTACCAAACAATTATATTTCATTTTTCACTGTATCATAAAAGCTTATTAATCATTCTGACCACTTAATTATTTTGCACTGATTTATATAATAAAAAAAAGGGATCCAAAAGGATGGTATGAAATGCGTCGGTGGTTTGGGAAAGGGAATAGTAAGTCTCGTGATATTATGGAGTGATATTATGGAAGGATTGAATTTGTGGACACCATGATTACAAAGGGGTTGGTTGTGACCTTCCTATTTTTACTTGTGACCCTCTTTATATCCATTATTTGACGTGTACCTCTGTTTAGGGATGTATTATGGATTGAGTTGATCGGGTTGAAGACATTTGAACAAACCAACATAATATTTACCGTTTGAAATTTTTCAACCCAACCCAACTGAAACAAAACTACAAACTCAGACCGCGTGGGTTGAGTTGGATTGGTCGGATTTGAACCTTGATGTATTATTTTATAATTTAATTAAATGTTGTGTCTAAATGGATTAAAATCGAAATGTTAATATTACCAAAAAGACAGAACAAACTCAAAAAGAAAAGTTGAGGGTTCATACAAATAAGAAAGTAAAATTACGATTTAAATAGTAATATAATTTTGAATATAGCTAATTATGAACTGGGTTAATGTCGAATGTACATATGTTAATCAAGAACTTAATATTCATATTAAATCCATAGTATAAAAGAGCATCGGGTTCATCGAGTTAGGTTGGGTTCAAAATGAGCGTAAACCCAATTCCAACTCAAATAGATGCAGGTTGGCCTACTTTTGTATCAACTATGTGTCGCTTTACCTCGGGTTGAGTTTTTTTTATTGGTTTTCTCGAGTTGGGTTGGCATGGTTACTCAATATTTTGAGCACCCCCGGCTCAGCTGTAAAAGAATAGGGTGATTTTGTTCAAATATGAAGAAAAGTATAATCTCACTTTATTCATGTATATCAACAGATTTACAACAAGAAAAGTAATACAAACCAACCTCTAGACCTTAAACTTTGTTAACCAAAACGATTAACAAAACTATTCAAAGGCTTATTCTAGAGAGAAAAATAGAGAGCTAAAACTATCAATCGACTAAAAGTGGAGAAAATGATATCTGATATGAACAAATCTGAAGCAAGAAACGAATATATATAAATCTCGAAATTGCAAGAAAGGTCCTTCAAGTTTATGAAAATTGCTCCGCTACNAGGCAAAGAGCAATGGGAAGATGAAGATCTACAATTGCCACAAAATTCAAGTCCATAAGCATCTTTTTTATTAGGGATGGCCGATTGGTGGCAGTTATCCGAATGAGTCTTATGCTTATTAGTTTCACCCATACCCGTGCTTTGATTATCCATCAAAACATTTTCAGTATCAAAAGGGACAAATTTTCCAGAAGATTTATCATCATCCCAAGAACATATTTTAGTCCCTTCAACCAAATTATCAGAGAATTCCGGTGATGCAAAAACATCAGAGAAGGTGTTTGAAACACCACCACTTGAGCCTACATCATCCTCACTCTCTGAGAAAAACCCAGAGCGAACATCATTTGAAGGAGGCAATAAGATCATGCGATTATAATCTTCAAAGACCTTCACAGAACACATTTTTTCACCAACTTTCACCTTCACCACCGAATTCACGGAGTCCATTCCAGTGRCTAACAAAACACCCAAAGAGCAAACCATGTCATTATCAAAAGAAGGTTTATCAATTTCAACAATCTCCCCGAAGG